AAGGCGAAATTCGCCGAAACGTCAGCTTAATCGTGAACAAAGAACAATAACACCTCGCGTTTGCTCAAAAAAATACGAACAAAATCACTTGATCAATGCCGAGGTTAATAGAAAGTCGGTCGTGGCACTTAAGTACCTTTGTTCTGTAACTTCCATTTTAAACACACTCACACTTAGTCATTTCCCTCTTCTTGTTTTTCGAAATATCCAAGAGTTTTTAAAAAGATTTGGTTTATGAGACGAATTTCTTCGCTTCTCTTGTTCATTAATGTGTTTCCCAGGCTAGGAATGTGCTTGAAACATAAAGGATTACAAAAGTGATTAATCTGATGCGATTGAATGTATTTCTCCTCTAGCTCACTTGCTAAATAAACTTGTACTTAGTCATTCTTCTCTCTACGTTATTCAAAACTGCAAAGAACTTATAAAGATATCTGATTTATCGAACGAATACGATGCGGAAGGTTCACACAGACCGGGTAGGGTCGAGATTGTTTAGCGCCGAGCGTAGCTTTTCGCTTAACCTTGGAACGGCGGATAATCCTATAGATACCAGATTCTGAACAGCAGCTGCAGAAACGATTCGAGCGGCAATTTCGAAACCGCTGCTGTGTTTTCATTTCTGTTGAGATTTTATGGGTATTTACGAATAAACACTGTACCAGATGAGATTGAATTGACAATGTGACGTCGTGACTAATACCATAAATTGTGATCTCTTTGTAAAGTATATCCAAGCAAAAGAACTGTGATGACAATGTTGCGAGTTGGACCAGAAGTAGTGGTTATTCGCACTTCAGTCACAGTCCTCCCAACAGTTCACCGCCTCATCGTGGCTAGGTGTTGTTTCTGGATGTAGGGTTACGATGAACAACAGCGGGATTCATCCCCCGCAGGGTCTTCCAAGCTGAGGAGTCCGGCTTTCCTATCAGGAACCGCAGTTAAGAGCAAACCGATGCCAAGATTCACTACTGTTCTGGTATCGAACTAGTCGCGTGACGCCAAATCTCTCTCTGACCCACAAAATCGGTGAGTGCCTGTGGTGGTAATGACTTTGGCCAGGCACACTTCGGAACCCCAGAGGAACACAATGGCTAAAGCACCAAAACTGCGAAAATTTGAGAATATGCTGGCCCGCACAACCAGTGAGAACGAGTCGTCCAAATATCCAAATAAGTAGATCATAGTAAGACCGAAGCTGGTTTCTCAGCTGGTTAACCTACTCAGTTGTTAGAGTAGTAAAATCTATATAGATTTAAGCTATCTCTAACGATTGCGACATAGGGCTTCTGCAGCAAAATATTTGGTAGAAAACAAACTACCGCCGACAGGAATACTTTAGAGGTGTTTTTTCCTAGTTCATAAATCGTTGAGTTGATCGCTACCGGTGCGAGTTCAGATCGTTTTCCAGTAGGTTGCAATATTATACAGATTTCCTATTAGCGCCCTCGTTGATTTTATGAGTAGAAGTTGATGAATAACAGAAGAAATAGCAGATATGGACGTAGAATACAGAGATTTTCTGACTGATTTCTAAATGATTGACGTGAACGTTTTCCCTGAGGGATGAAACAAGTGTCGATCATCTTAGACTAAGTATAGCTTCAACACTTCTTTGCGCTTTCTGGTTAGAGTTGACAGAAAAGATAACAAGTTTTCTCATTAGTAATTTTCTTAGTAAATCATTAAGCTCTATTAAATAGTTACAACATTTTCTCTTACTCCAGAGGAATTCTTCAACCAATACGCACTGCCTGAAAGCAATCACGGACTTAATAATGAAAATAGGAATAAAATTCCCGCATTTGACGGGCAACTAGACTTTCCACCACATTAACTGACGCCGATCCACGATCTCCCTCTTGTTGACTTCGCTGGTGCTGGTTTGAAAACCTTTGTCCGGCAATCAAATCACGCAACGCCGAGAAATTAAATGAACAACACTGTCTCATCTTATTAGTTTTAAATCCATGACTGATTCAATTTCGGAAGATCAAAATCCAACAGGTGAGTTAATTTTTCTCTGGCACGTGCATATTGAGACCGGAATGTTCACTTTGTTATGTTGCATCGTTAAAATACGGGGTTCGCTGTTAAAATAGCTCGTCACTAATTAGAACTTTAATGAGATTTTTCAAGTTTACTTAGTGAACAATAAACCATAAAAGCTAGAATACACACAAAGTGACTGCGTATTCAGTATTTATTTCTTTCGATGTTTCCCTCAACAAGCAGACACGAAGCTGTTATTATAGAATTTGTTAGGATACAATAGCTGACGTTTCGGCGGTTTCGCCTTCTTCAGGGCCTGGAAAAGTCAAATTAAGATGCGATCTACTTGGCCAAACACTTTCATAACTCCAGCAGATAAAACCTAACAAATAAATTCGTATTCGCATAAGAAACAGCTTCATTTAAACACCTACCGTTTATTTGTTGTAAGTATTTAAGTTAGTTGATGGATGGCAGCCGCAGAGAGTAATACATGGGCGATAACTGTGTCTGTGTCAGGTTATTGGATTAGCCTGAGGTATGGCGTCAGGTCATGCGTGATGACAAGACACTCCTCCTTGCGGTTCATTTTTGAATTTTTGGAATCAAACCAAAGCGCTTCAAGAGTTCTACGCGCTGATGTTTTCGATTCCTGCGTGAGGATAGTGACTCCCGCTTCAAAATCTTTTCCGTTGTGTTCCTGCATCCTATGAGCGCCTAGCGGAGTGTTTTGCTTTAATTTAGATTTACCGACTAGGTGTTCTTTTATGCGGACGCATAACGGTCTAACTGTTTCGCCAACGTATTCGTCCCTCACGTTTTCAAGAGATCAGATAGGCTGTTCCCGAACTCATGCAAACGCCGTCTCTACCGTTAGCGTAATTACGCAGTTTTTCGTTATACATAAGCGGTGATAAATGCGGTTGCGAACTGGCTGGCGTCTTAGAGTGTCCGATGGTATTTATTTCTTTGTCATTGCATAACCTGTCAACAAATATATCACACTGTGCTAATCCTAGCACTTCTTGCATATTATTTATTTCCTCACCTCTATCATCCAAAAACAATTTTATTGGTTATGGTTTCGCCTGCTACTTGGAAGACCTTTGGACTTAGCGATGAATGTCATAGAATGCTGGGCAAGTCCATTCATCCTGGAATTCTGAGACAACCGTGCTAGAGCGTTCCTACGTGGATTAGAGGGAGCGAGTGCGCCCCAAAAAGTCTGGTTCCAATTTCCCGATCCCATTTGAGGCTTGAAGCCTCATATAGGATCGCGGCCAGTGCTTGCGTTGTTTAGGCCATCCGCGTCTAAATGAGGTTACTACCACTGCACTACTCAATCCATAAACGTATTTAATAAATTCCAAAAGATGATTCAATGAATCTATGTAGCGACTTGCCGCCAGCTCACATACACTCGCCAGCTCAACTTCAGGTCATGTCGACAAAGTTTTTTTCTCATACCGACCTCAGTGAATAGGTAGAAGAGTACAATGCAAGCGATAAAACAATCTTTTCTTTCTATTGTCCAAAATATCACTATATTTGTTCAGTCTTTCAGCTAGAGAGGTTTATCCTGAAATCAGAAAACCGAGAAAACCATTTATTTCACAAAGAAATAAGGACAGTTGGTAAATTCATCAACCCGATTTTAGTTTGGAAAGAGTTTTTTTTCGAAGGACTTTCTATAAAATGGCGTTTGAGGAAATTGTAATAGAGTACCAGATACTGAACTGATTCTACTGACACACCGCATATTGGAAAGTACTGGACTGGCTCATACTATCCGTATTCGAATCCTTTTTGATCAAATGTTTCGGCGTGTTTATCTAAACGCAGATTCTTCGTTGCACGTCCGTTCATAGTAAACTAGGAAATAAAATGGTTAACGGAAATAGCTTGAAGTCACCTGCAATGATGGAACCTCTTGTTCTATTCTGGGATATCCCTTCTAGGAAGCAATCCGTAGGCATATCAAGCCCACCCTTTCTTCATAGAAAATCTCTAAGAGTAATCTGCCTAAAATTAAGTGATTTGCGTAATTGCTTCTTGCTCTAAATACAATAAAAATGGAAACAATAATATCGGAAGTGTGATGTGTGGTGTCCCTCGAGCGAGTGGAGCCAGTGAGCAGCCCTTGTGCGCGACGCGAGAGGCGAATTGAAGACTTTACCAGTCCAAATCGAGTCACCCGATTATTAAAGGGATTATGGGTGATGCAGGTGGTGATTTTATACCATGGGTCTTCTTGATATTATATATATATTTATATATATTCATATTATATATCTTCAAGAAAATCTTTCTCGACTCTGTGATTGCGCAACGAAAGCTTTTTATATTGACTTCTTTAAATTAGCCACATGTATAACAACGTTTTTTTAGAAACAAAAGTTCTCTTATTACAGCTAGGTATCGTATGAAGGATGATATATTGCGCTTTCGATAATATGGACGACATTAGGAATATGGCAAGAGGACGAAATTCAAAAAAATTTCTGCAGCAACTAAACAAGACCGAACTAATATATACCTTAAAGCAAACGACGGTCTAATTTCTTGGTAGGCAAACTTAAAATTATGTTTGAGGGATAAAGATAAGGATAAGAGGTCAGCGTTGAAGAATCCATGAAAAATGCTTTTTGCACTTGACTTCCTGCATGGTAGAGGACGTTGAACGAATATTTGGCTTTTGCCAGGACAGGCTGGTAAAGCGAGCCAGTGTTTCTCCCAGAAAACTCTGCTATAACTGCGGAGAACCTGATGGATTGGTCATCTAAATGCGCAGAATTGAACAAGCAAACACATGTGTATTTCAGATTGCCTCTAATCATCACTCTATCCAATAATATAAAGTTGCAAAGTTGTGGATGAAAATTCCGAAGTACAATCTTTCATTTTGATTTTAGATCTCTATTTGTAGGCGGAGCCGAGTGGGGGCGGATTGGTAGCGTAAGCAAGTCGGTGACGGTCGTCATTGTACGGTGCGTCGACCTCATTGAGCGATGTCTTCTCAACTACGTGGACCTCGTCCTAATCAGGAAAGGCGGAATGCGCGTGAACGTAATCGTGTACATCAGGTGGCGTGTAAAGCTTAAAGTGTTTAATTTTTAAGTATTGGGTCCGTTTTTAAAAATTATTCCTCCACTGAGTACCAAGTGCTTCTGAGAAGATTTCTGCCCATACTATGTTGAAGTGTTTCAAGGTAAATCATGGATTTGATCTTCTACGAAATCGTGTTCCAAAAGCCGGCATCAATAAGAAACTTTCGAAAGCTGATACTCTACGTGAAGCTGTACGGTACATACAGTACTTGCAGAGTCTACTGCATGATGGTGGACCTGTTAATCAAACAGGTCAGTATGCTTTGTTAAAAAAAACTACATTTCTGAATAAAGTTTACTTACACTTTCCACAATTCTTAGAATATAATTTTAAAGCAGATTGAAGTTTGTAAAGTGATTGATATTGGTTTGTAGGCTGTGATTTTCTTCAACCTGTCGTAAAATTTCTTTAAGAAAGGCTGTGAACGATGGAAAAATGCACTATTTTTAGTTTTCCATCCGCATACCTTTCTTCAAATGCTTTTTTAATGCTTTTGCTTTTCTAGAAAAAAGTGTGTGGAAGTCTTTTTACGGTTTCAAAAGAAAGATCAGTAGTTTACAGAATATCAGTTTCTGAACAAGATTTTTAGGTTACGCAGCTCCATCGTGTTCGGTGAATTCCACCCTCTACCATCAACCCGAAATGGAGTTCGACATCTACTTTCCCACTTCCAGCCGCTCCTCGGCCTCTCACTCCCAACAAATCAGCCCGATCAACTCCATTTACGGTACTCCTACGGCTTCCATACAACCACAATGTAATACAGGTCTGTCATCACACATATCGGCTTATCAGACTTATCAGATCATCAGATATTGAAAGGTGAATGTGAGGTGCTGTGAATATCACAAAAAGTTCGCACGACATGTAAAAGGTTTATTCAAATTTTTGATCTAAATCAACTTAGTGTTTGATAAAAGGTTTAAAGACTAGCTATGCAAGCATCATTACAAGTGTTTAATACAACACTGAGTGGGGTTACCTTTAAATTTGTTGGTTTAACAACCGGTTAAGGAAACGTTTTCAGTAAACGAAGCGCACAGATTTGTTAGCAAAAGAGATCTATTCTTTTCATAACTTAAAATTTTTCTATTTTGAGCATATTAGCTTTTTTATGGTTGAATATGCTCAATTCAACCCATGTATGTTGAAAGTCATGGAAGTATATTTTCATCTTTAAAGGAAAATGTTCGACTAAAAAAATACAGTTCATTAAAGCGAGCATTTATAAATAAGGCATGAACTGGTAAAGTTTATTCAGATGACGTCAATCACGCAAATTTTCACTCACGGTCAATTTTTCTATGGAAGAAATACAAGTTGACCGACGAATGCCACATAAAGTATTTGTCAAGAGACAGTGTTTACTTTTCTTGTGATGCCTACTATAACTTTTTTCATTTAAACTACAGCCTCAGTTTAACTGGATTCAATGCCGATATGGGCTCCTAGATCAATCCTGTTGACGGGTGATTGCTGGCGACACTGATCAATAGAACTAGCTGAGAGACAGGCGAAACGAAAGACCTGCATAGTGTGTTGGTGGACGCGTTACTCCTCAGAAAGGGCAATAGCGCGTTCGTTCCTCACCGCAGACACCTGCGGTCTGGAGTTTTGCAAATATCTCAGCATCGTTGTGTTTGTAAAGATATTTTGACATATGATCGTCCCATTGAATAAAAACCATGCATTAATTTTCTTTCCATGTACAGATTTTGTTTACTGGTTTCTTTCAAAACAAAAAAAAAGAATCCGAGATGCAGCACTGATCAGAAAGGTCACAACATTTACCATTCTGATTAAGTTATGAGATATATTTTTACAAGGTAACAACGTCTATCAACAGAAACGTAGCGTAAAGTCTATTAAGACGTAATCACTTCTATTAGTACAACATATAAGGTATTTTTACCATTTCCTGCTTTTGTTTAACGATGATCGTTTCAGGTGATCGTCCTTTCCTATGAGCTACTTCCTAGCAGATCGCTTTCCGTGCCAATCTCGTCGTTGTTTTACATCAGATTTTGTCTACTTGTCGTCGTCGATCACGGGTTTTGTACATACCATATTAAAAAATAAATAGTAATACATTTGCTGCTTTTTTTTTTTGGACTACTCTGCAGAATCATATTCTCCACATCAATGGTGCGAGTTCTGATTTTGAGTGAAGTGGTACGTTTTCTAATTAAAAAGTAACCTTAAATCTTCCCAAGAAACTAGCTCGGACTAGCTGTTTATACACCTGGATTTCAGCTAATTTTGAAAGCTTTTGTTAAAGTGTTAACGAGTTCTAAGGAAAATTTGTGAATTGTCATTTTTGACACCTGGAGAACTCCCTGGCGCTATTACGTTAGGAGTGTTTGAAAAAATTATTGTGTTCAAGGATCGAAATCCTTTTACCGCCTTCAAGCGACTTTTCCTCATGATAAAACTCTTTTAGCTTACAAAAATATCCTGGGATTCAAATAAATTTCTATATTCAGTAAAGTCATTGGAAAACTTATAATGAGCGCCAAGTTTCTTTCCAATCATTGTCCAAATCTTAGGTTTTTGCCTCCTCATAAGAATTTTCGGACCTCGTGAAATGAAGTTTCCTCAACATTAGTATTACCTGGTATATTTGATTGCTTGGAACTCTTCTATGGAGAAGAAACGAAACAAACGTCTTTCGCACTATGGATGCTACTTGGTAACAATTTCAGTTCATCTAAAGCTGCTTAATGAGAATAGAAATTGCACTTTCGTGGTTTTTGTTTCTTAAGTGAATTTTAGCTAAAATAGCTTTCAACATAACTAAACTAACTAACTTTAGAGTAAGGATCCTTATTTTGACGGCAGCGTTTCTTTATTACAACAAGTAAGAATAACAAAGAAAGAAAGTTTACGTCATAGAAGAAGATGTCACTTTAAATCTACTTTAGGAGTGTCTTCATGAATTTGCCTGCACATTTTCTGTCTGGATTTGTGTAATGTGGGCAGATGTCTTTCCTACGGTCGGTCGGCGGTCTTCCGCTGGCCTCCTCGCTCGCTCCCTATCACCGGTCGGTCCCGTCGGTCACCCTGTGGGGTGGTCGACGGGCACTGTAGGCGGGCGAGTGCAGGTGCGAAACGGTCGTTTCTAGCTCATTTCCGTGTTGCCGATAATTTATGCTAACTTGAAATGACAATTTTAATTGATTCTTGGCATGATATTCGCTCCAACATTGAAATTGTCTCGCTTTCACCAGTAATGTCTTGAAAACCCGTCGCTGAACACAAGAATTAAAGATTAGAATGTGAAGAGCAATAAAAATTGGACGTGGACAAAAATCCGACCACTGAGCTCCGTCTAAAAACAATGGAAAGTAGTTTATGCAAAGCAAAATCCTTTTAAGGAGATGCCAAAAACTTGATACGGAAGGTGCAAATGCCTTTCGTTAGAAAAACTGGCAAGCAAATGAATCCCTATTTGTGAAAGTATCGTACAAAAGAAGGAGCAAGACAAACAAGAAGGGAACAAAAAGAGCAGGGATCTCATCAAAGAAAAGCTTGGAATACATTAGGTCCTTCACATGAAATGGCAATGACCACGATGGTTCAGGTTCAAGAGCAAGGTAACTAATGAGGAAATCAAACAGAGTAACTCAATACTAGTTAGACTCCATTCGAGCATCTGCACTCTCCCACGGGCGGATGTAACACCACCTAAGACAGAGTCGGCACCAGAGAGAGCTATCTGGGCATGAGAAACGAAGGACGAACATGACAAATAATTAATAAACCCAATTACAGTAGAGTCAATAACGAAAAGGTTAAATGTTTTGGAAAATTGAAAAAGTCTACAGGCTAACTAGTTTGAACCACAAGCTTTTTCCCACCTTTTCCTTGGAATGGATGCGTATGTTACCTCGACAAATCTCCAATGACTCCCACGACGGACTTTCTATTAACCTAGGCATTGATCAAGTAATTCTTCGTATTTTTGTTAAGCAAACGCGAGGTGTTTTTGTTCTTTATTCATGAATAAAGATTAATTCTTTCAATAATTATTCTTTATTCATTTATTCGTGAATAAAGAACAATAACACCTTGCGTTTGCTCAACAAAAATACCAAGAAATCTCCAATGATTCCGTTACTAGACAAAGCCATTAAGCATAATTACATCTGGACCATTCTATCCAAAATTCTACGCGCCAGGTTAATGGCTTTGTTAATGCTGGTGGTCGGGAGGCCCGTCGTCTTGCCGCAATGAAGTTCGTGTCGGCTCAACGCCTTTGGTAAGTGAGTCAATTAGAGCACGCGTTTACAACTGTTCTCTCGTTTGAGATCAGATCGACCGCTCAAAACGGAAAAAGTAATGCCGCATCAATAAATCTGGTGATCACCTTTGCTCACTGAATACTCATCTTGATTGCTTTCTGATGGAAGAAATGCCGACACCAAAACTTTACTTTCCGATAGCACTAACAGTCTCGTCTATTCACTTTTGTCAAAGACCGCCGGTTAGTTGGTGGGCAATTGCACACATCAGCTACTTTTTTCCGAATCATGCGCTAGCCATTCATATATTCATATTTTTGGTAAAGTATAAATTTGTAGTCTAATAAGACCTTTGGCATGAGCTGCAGTGGGGGCTTTCTGATAGAACTATCATAATCGTTTGTTGGAGTGTTGACCAAACTTCCAAATTGAAGCCACAACGGAAATATCCAGCACCCAAAGTTATTATATAGTGCTGAAATGTTTGCACTCTTTTCTTAAAGTAATCTGGACAGTGATTCGTTCTTCATAAGGTCGTCGAATGGACTGACTGTCAACAAACTTATGCAAATAGAAGAGGCTGTAAATGACGGGCAATAACCGACAGTAATCTGACACATCGTCATTGAATAAAGACTGCGGCGACTCAAACTAAGTCCGTAATTTGCATGTGAAACAAAGGCAAGGACACAAGACAACAACACTGTCTTCTAACCGCGAAACTTTCGCTGAAAATCGGTAACTCGAATGCAGAGAAAACAAATCCACACTTGAAAAAGCGCACTGAATTTTTGGGCTTGTTTACCTGCTACAGACTTTGCATAATTGAAATCAGATTTCAGTGAAATAAGAATTTAGACCTATACAGTGGCATAAAGCTTCAGCAAATGTTCCTCTCAGTTCGTATCGGGTACTGTCCGTGACAGAATTTCATGTGAGCGGTGATCCTAATCGAGTGCTTAAGTGTCGCAGATACTGTTACCCAGTCATGAGTACTGTAAATATTACGTCTTTTTCCATTCTTAGAGCTTCTCAGCTAACGAGGTTACATAAGAGGTGCAGGAGGATTAAATAACTGATGCGGATCATCTGAACTACCAATCAGAATATTGGGAGTCCGGAGGCGGGTAGGCGGAATCACATTGCACCTGTTCGGGTGACTGGATGAGCTGCTGGAAGGTTTGAACCTTTCTCGACCTAATAAAAAACTGTTCGAGCTGTTCTTTTACGAAGAAGATTTTCTTAAAAGAAAAACTGAAGGCAAAAGAAGCGCAGTTAGTGACCATATCGATTTCTGCTAAGAGAGTGTCTGACATATCCGAAATGATGGCCACCACTTCACCACCGTTGAAGTCTATTGCAACAAATAAAACAACCTCAATAAAAGTTTCGTGCTCATCACCTATGAAAAAATGTATAGAACTGGCGAATAAAATAGCAAAAATTTGTTCACATGTAAAATATGGTCATTAATCAAAGTGCATTAAAATTCGGCAATGTATTTCATCCTACCTTTGTGCCACTATTAATAAATACTTCGTCGAAATCCTGTTTAGCGAACATATTTAAGTTTATTTCTAAACTATACTGTTATTAATAAGTTTAATAACGAAGAGCAGTAGGCGGATCTACGTGTATTCCCTGTGGCCTCGTTTTGAAGATTTTATCTGATACTGTAAAATTCTCCAACTGCTTATATCAGGAGCGAACCGGCTTAATGGGTTCTACTCTCCAGGGTAACAAGAACGGTCGCTATTGCTGTGTAGGTTTTCTTTTTGTTTTCTACTTCACTTCTGGTAGATTCGTAGAGGATAACCTTCTCGGTGCTATACTACGTGAATCTATTCCTAGATGACTTGTTCGGTTTGAAAAAGTAGATTATGAAGGCTGTTTGTTGATGCGAATCTTATTTATTTTTCAAAGGTCTGATTACTGAAACTACTGTAGGAATCGACAGCAAGCAGGATGCGACATCCTACACACAAGAACACACACATATTCACATATGCATGGATTTATTTATGCATATACGAAAGATGCATGTCAGTCACTGCAGCAGAGACGGAGAGCGATTCCTATGAACCCTAACCCTCTTATTCTTTAACAAAGGATATGGTCGGGTTTCACATCGCCTTTAAAGTCACACCCACCACATCGACTAATGTCAAGCGGGATTGCTACTGGTCAAGTCGAAACTCGGAGTGTGATAACGAATAGATTTTATATTAAATAGTTTCACAAATTAAATACAGAACGATCGATGAGATCCGAAACTTTAGAGAAGACGGTTCAGGTGCATGATGCAATATTGCTGGGCTCAATCCTAGGCGATCTTGCATGTACTATGAATTATTTATTCGTCACAGCAATGTACGAAGCTGTTAGTGTAAATCAAATTGACTGCTGCTTATAAATTCTAAATAGTTATGGTTAATTCTACCCTAGCCCTCCTCTATGAACGACTCACACAATAAGCGTTTTATGGATTTCTCATACTTCACTTCGCATTTCGGAGCCAATTGTTTGACTGGCAGAGCTTTCAAGTACTTGTCCTTACAAGCTTTGCTGTCTGTTTAAACAAGTATAATAAATGGTTAGTTAAATTGAAATAGTTGTCTCTTAAGTGACAACGCTATTACGTTGTTAAAAACCTCTGCATAGAAAAATAGATAGCCCTATCCAAACCGTATTATAATACACTATTGACCTTAACAAAATCCTAATAGACCCAAGTGAACAAAAGCCGAACTCATAGAAGACAAGTTATTATTTCCTAGAAATATGGAGGTCAACTTTACTGTGTTAGGAAACAAACTGGATCCATCTAACTTAGACGAGGTTGCCCTACGCTTTTTATTCGACTGAATGAAATTATCAATTTATGTCAATAGAAACAGAACAAGAGAAATCTCCGCCAAGGAAAGGATTCGAGTTCTTTTAAAACGAGTGAATCAAATGTTATTAAAATCAAAGTCTTTTGTGCCTTCCTTAGTTTGAAAAACTTTCGAAAAAAAACATGCGTCTGGTCATTTCACTTCATTGCAAGTATTTCGTTTCCTTTGTGATAGACGGCGTACAAAAGATGAACATATGTGACTGGTAGATGATGATGCCATCGATGAGCGACGTCGCTTTGCGTGATTGCGGTGTCCTTACGGTTTCCTCTTGCGCAAAAGACTTACGCGCTTCAACTAGCTGCAATTACGGTGCCTTTGTGATGACGTTGTCTCGCTGTGCTACTTACTGTATGATTAAGGCGGTATCCGAATCACTGACCCAGTTAGATAGATGTTGCATACGTTCTCATCGACGAACTACAACATCAAAGTGATACAAAACGATCTTTCACTGTCAATCACATCGAATTCCTTGGTTCGACACCTCGACATCTCGTTCGAACGACTGCACTTCGCTGACGGCAGTGCCACTTCTCAATTGTTCAGTGGTAGCGTTTCCCAGCTGGAAGTGTCAATTCGATTCCGTGTAATGACCTCATAAGCTCGTCTGACGCATTTTTTCACTCTTCGAACGACGATTCCCGTGGCTCTTAAAGAAAGACTATTCGTCAAACGAGCGAAAAATTTTTAAGTAACTTAGTTTCCGTCGTCATTTTTTCTTTGTATTTTTACAAATTTTTTATAACCCAGAGTAGAACTGCGTGAAAGTCTCTCATGAGGTGAATATTCACCCCAAGATTCCTTTATCATTCATTTCTTGTAGTGTCAGTATCGTTTATTATATAACATCTGTTTGAGTAACAAATCAAGAAAGACATTTATCCAAATTAACATAACATAGGAATGTGCTAGGACATTTGCAATGAATTGCATTGGTTTCCATGCGCGTTTGGGCAAAAATAGTTGCCCTTTTAAGCTTAAGCCTTAAACATTTACAGTCCTGCTCACGAAGAACTTCGTTAAATGGAATAAGAATAACTAGGTCCTACAAATCACTCCCAAGAGAGATTTCGAAATCTGTTTTGCCTAAAAACTGTACGCGTCTCTGCTTTTGTCAAATCCCCGTTTTGTTCAGCCGTTTTCAGTGAAATTACAACGATTGAACAAAATATCGCCGCTGACCATATGTAGCGCTTGGGTGCATTTGTCTCGGTGCTAATGTGCACGTTTCGCTTGTCGGCCATGACAATGTAAGGTCAACAGCGTTCGTTTCAATCACTGCGGTAACCTACGATTTTGAGAGGACAATAATCGAGAAGATCTCACGCAAAGTGAGGTCAGTGTTTCTTCGACCAGGAGAACAACGAATTCTCTTCAGATTTTTTGATAACAAAATCTGTCGCTCTGTCGGCTTCTAGATTCGCATTGCAGTTTTTGAAAATTCAAACACGTCAACGATTTCCGAAACTGCTAAGATTTTAACCACATAGGTAGATAGTCCGGTACTGATTCACTTTAGCTGCCAACAGATCACCGTCTTCGTGGGAACGTTCTAGAGTTCCTTCACACTAAAGTGGGCCTCATATTTATGCGCCTTTTTCCAAGTTCCTGATAACGCGAACCGACCGTCACTTTACAAATTCACCTCAGAGTTTCTGACTATGCGAAGGTGCTGCCCTCTTCTAGGTCCACTAAGAGTGATAGCCGATTTCTGGATCCGCTTCTGTGCAGCACTGACATGGCGATGTAAAGGAGTCATCAGCGTATGTTTCTGATTGCGCAACAGATGGTAAAGAGAGAACACCTCAAAAAAGAGCCGCCTACGATTCAGCGCTTGGTTAATTGTGAGCACTTAATCAGGACACACTGCATGCACACAAAATTAAAAATGCTAAAGCGAAGATTAGATGCCTATTGACTGGTGCTGATCAAAAAGTGGAAGGCAAGAAAAGTTTTCGAGACCTCTTCAGTTTAACATGCAATATGCGCCTTAGACCTCTTGATGTAACAAGTTAGAATCTTCTTCTGAAATAAGTTTGTGCTTTTATCTTTCTATATTTAACGGATTCGCTCCGGAACGGATTTAACTCGATAATGCCAAGCACAGGCACCACGTGTTGACAATTTATGTACTATTTAATGAATCGCAAAAAGGTGACGTGGTGGTGATGCCGCTCGTCACGAAAATGGTGCTGGTTTGACCACTTCTAGGGTCACCAAATCCTTCATCTTTCCGTAATCGGAAAAATGGCACCCGAGCGCACAGGGCCTAACTCACTCCCTAAAGTCACGCAGAAATGCTTTAGCACAACTATTCCAAGACTTGAAGAAGAAACGAAACGACTCGACAGTATTTAACGATGTTCGTAAAGACGACAATCCTCAAGCAGAAATCAAACCCATGTGCGAGAATGTGGAAAACCTTCGTAGGTGATGGATTTGTGGAAAAGCATCGACTGCGAGAAGAGTCGAGATCCGCACAATAGATGTGAAGACTGGTCAAGAAACAGTAAAAATAAAAATTAATAAACTGTGAAGGTTGAGACAATAAAAGTGGAATAAAGTAATACTCAAAAAATACTTCGTGAAATCAACGTAATCAGCTATTTAACTACAAATAGATTCATGGCACTGATTGAGAAAAATTGTTCTCCATTGTATCTACTCATTAGTTTACACATTGCTAATCTTTTTTTAAGTAGTTTTTTTTGAGCATCAACAATGAGCTCAACAACCTAAACAAGTGCTGACGCAGTATTTATTAACTAAGGGTGGGTTCGAAACCCAGCTGAGGTTTCGGGTTTTGCTTGTATCTCAGGTTCCATAAGTTTGTACTTCACAGAATATCCTGCATTAAAAAAAGAATAGTTGGTAAATAGAAGTCGGGATATTGTTCGTTAACTTCTTCAATGACGTTTTGCTGAGATAACGTTCGAAAGCTCCAATAAGGAATGATTGGGTGAAACGTAAGCCTTACAGCAGCAGTCTTGAATGATGTGAATTGCTGCAAAGTTATGAAGTGGTTCATCTCGCCATCACACCAATGGTTTCCAGTGAACTATAGATTGGCTACCTCATTCAAGTCTGCACATTATAAGGGTAAATAATATTTTTAAACGTGCTCTTTTATGTTTTCCACCTTATTCAAAGGAAAGTATTATTCCTGACTCAAAACCGGGTTCGCAGTGATGTTGTAGGCATGCGAGTCGAAATGCACTAAATGCCGAACCAATTCGGAAGACGCTCTGTCTACCTCTAGTGAAATTGGATAATTCTCTCTTTCTATGCTTTAAACAATAGCGTTCAACGAGCTCCATGGAAAGAAAAGATGACAACGTCTTCAAATTGCAGCGAAATCACGGTATGAATTTCGTCAACATCTTTGAGAAGAGTTTTTTTCTGCGACTCTTTCATATCCTCGCAAACGTTTCCGCTTCTTTTTTCTGTTCTTTCTCCTCTGATGTCTTGTAGAGATTGTGGATCGCTTTGTGTTCATCCGTACGGATCAGCTAGCTAGATGTTGATCGGTAAGTGTTTGCTATGTGTCAGCCGCAGAATGACCGTAATTCGTAGCCACACAGTCAACATTCTGTCGCATTAGTTATGTAACAGCAGATGGTGTCGATACATTTACGATTAAATCGTTCACTTGACGATTAAAGTATGTGAAGTGCGTGCGAGATGAATATTCTGAGAATCCTCTTCTGTGGGTTCGATTGCAACTACCGAAAGAAAAATTAATCTGCTTATTGGAGAAAAACACCGAATTATCAGTCATTGCTGAGGCTAACAGAAAGTCGTCTTGGGAATTACCGAAATAACACTCAAAATCCTCAAGAAGTACTTTTCCTTGACGGAAGTCAAAAGAACCGGGAAAAAGACAGGTTATCAAGGAGAATTTCGTGTTTTTTTAGCCTGTATAAAATCATTAAGCAAATTTTGTTTTTTCTTAAATGTTTTTTACAGAGTCGACGAGTTTTGTGTAATTTGAAAGGCATTTTCTAGAGCTCGGGAAGACTTTGGCCAGGCTGACCTCGGGATCTCAGAGAACCACGATGGCTCAACAGGAAAGTCTCCAAAACAGAAAGATAAATGGAGACTGTGCTGGCGCCCGAACAACTAGTGAAGACGGGCCGTTCAGGTATCTAAGTATCCAACGATTTTTAAGAGGTAACAATTACGATATAATCATATATTCGACGAAATGAATGAGCCGTTATCAGGAATAATTTACAGAATGTAGCAAGGCATTAAATTAGAGATCATGCTGCTAAGCAAAGCAAGTTTTGGTTTCTATTTAAAGTTTAATGAAAATAACTGGGTTATGCTGTTATAGACGCTTATTGATCGGAGCGATTTCACATCACAACCAAGTCTCTTATAAGACGTCCACGAATTTAGGGATTATTTATGCTTCTTTCTACACCTCCGTAAAAGTCCTAAAGTTCTTTTCAGCTTTGCTTACTTCGTCGGTTTATGAGTTGGTGCCATATTTCATAGTTCGACACCAAGAAACATCGCTTTCTGCAGTGTACCGGGATGAGCAGCGGTACACTACAGTGTAATAGCGGTCATATAAATAAAATTAGGCACTAGCGCCCTTAAAACTTACAGATAAAGTTAAGTTACTGTACCGGTGCTTTTCGTCTACAACCAAATCTTGGTTACCAGTTTTCACGTAATCTCATGCAGGATTTGTTTTCACCACAATGAGAGTTTGCTGCATAGAGATTGACCGATGTTGACAGTGAACCAGTAATTTCCTTCAAAGCCATACGTCTTCCTCTCTCGTGGTTTCCAATGCAGGAAGCATTTGTGAATCGAGGAACCGATGGAATGAGCGTCATCCGATCATTCTTCATGTGCACTGACCTCAGTGATTTTGATCGATTGATGTTCGCGATTCAATCAACCAAATGATCGGCTAGCAATTTACTGTTTAGTTTGTTGGTGAAACGGTCACCGATTGCCAGTTAGCCGTATTTACCCTATGCACAACGGATATCAGGAAAACTCCTGATTTTTGTGGGACCTTTGAGTTCATACTCACAGGGAGCCATTCTAAAACATCAGTGATTTTTATGTTTTTCCTACACTAGTTTCGTGAATGCGATGATAGTGACGCAAAGTAGTGCTGTATCGAATTTTATAAAAAATTCTCTAAACATAATCAGTAATCATTTAGATTTATATCAGGTACTAATTTATCACACTCATTTAATACAGTGACTAGAGGTGCTCTGCAATACACAGATTCCCGTTGGTTCGCTCTAACCAAGCACTCCGCCGTTCTGGGGTTGGCAAATTGGTATAGAATTTGTCTCGGAAGCAATAACCACTGACTTAATGTATCGGTAGACCATGAAAGCGTATGCAAATGCATAAATATGGTTTCTGCTAATGGAGTCGAAGGAATGGCGTTTTCCTGAAGAAATAATCAACGCCTTTTAGTTTTGTCTTTTATTCTCTTCCCACGTTTGTCTTCGTCTATTCGGTCAAATTATATCATTTCACTTTGTCGTAATCAAATAGGCGTGTCTTAAGATAACGGTAGAATTTTAGGAATTTATATGAAGAACAGAACAAATCAAGGAAGCCATCAAAGAGTCTAGAAGCGCCTAAATTCTCTCAAAAATTCCTTCGCTAGTGTTGCATGTTCATTCAAGTTATGACCTTGTTTAACGTAGGGAGATTAGAATTGTTGATTATTTCTGTATATGAGGCATATGTTTATGTTATATCCATAGCAATTAATATAACGTAAGCAGCGATAAATTTCTCCCACTAAAGCATAATTGCAGTGATCGAATATGCTTTACGACCAATTCCTCACGATTACGACCAGTTGCCAATGCATACCGTACCCGATATGTTATGTGTTGCGGAGCTTCATTCGAGCTGATTCCAGTGTCGCAGTGAAAATTCTGGGGTGCACAAACATACACACATGTTGGACGTACTAACAAACCACACATATAACGCAAACAAATGGCCACATGTAAATACATGACCATACATATACACATGAATAAATAACACACGCGTACGGATACACTGTAGGTGAAGCAGAATGGTTTCAACACAGAAATGATTATATGATCTAGACTATCAAAAACTTATCCTTAACACGGTGCATGGGTAATGCACTAGAAGCTGTGCTGTTCAACATGTACATGGTTCTGGTCCTACCCCCAGCCCGCGCTAACCAAGTTTCGTATTCCTCTCGCGTCGGGAGAATAGGTATAAGACTCATCCGAGAGGTTCTTTCCAACTCCTAAGAATTAGAAACGCCCAAATACGGCTGTCGCATTATGACAGAGAGAATCGACTCCACCAGAATTTGACAACACTAGTAGCAAAGAAAAGCAAAAAAATTCTCAATAAGTAGTCTAACCCAGGGACAAATTCGAAGGTCATCGTTGATGACGAAACGAAACGAATACAAGGAGCTTTGGAATCAGTGTAATACACTCGATGTAGGATCGCGTAAAAATGAAGACAGGAAAAAAATAGGAAGCAGCTTCGAGGTCATGCTCATGCGAATTATGTGTAAAGACTTTTCCATCAATAACTCTTGTGAGGAAATTGTTTTACATTTTATTATAACATTAAGTAAGGACGTGGCACACGGTCAATAAATCTTTTCACTTCAATTTCATATGATAGAAGAGAATTTGTAATCATAGAAAGCACTTCTTAACAATCTGCTATTACAGAAACTTTGCTTTTACCTGGTCTTTTCTTTAAGCAAAGAACAGATAAAGACTTATTACTACTCATCCAGATTGCACAGTTTTCTAAAGCACGAACGAACAAAAAAGGAAACAAAAAACAAAGACAAACGAAAGGAAAACTGATAAGGAAAATAAAAAAAGGAAAGACAAAGTTGGTTCAAATCAAATCACAAAAGCAACCTAGTATGACTGTTCCAGAATTCCATGAAAAACCATGTTATGTGTACGGTGAGCATGATAGCGAGTAAAGTAGATAGTTCATCCATGCTGTTCCGAGCTCGCACACCGACCAAATCACTTCGGGGTTACGGTTGCACAAGAATGAAGTGGCGAATATAAGAAATGATGGAAACGGCAAGAGATGTAAGTAGAGATCACCAAGCACCTAAAAATCTAAAAAAATAAGTAAATAAGTAAATAATAAATCTAGGTATGCACATTATCTGCAGAAGAACAATTGAGTACTTGAGTTAGTCCCGATGTACCTTAGATGCACAATCGCTATGGTTGCTCTTCACAGAATTTTAGTGTTAAGGGATTCGAACTAGTAGAGTCTTGACTTATGTTCATGTCGGACGAAGAAGCATCGATGCTTTGTATCTGAGGGTTTCTATCATTTCTAATTCGAACGGTGTTCCATTTCGGAAGATTCTACTCGACGCAAAAACGAAGGCTTACATCTCGACAACGAGCGGTTGTACACAGCTGACTCGGATCAACGCGGTTCTTGAGAAGGCGAACACTCCAAAACCTTAGCCGAATAAATGTATTAGAGCCAACTCGTGTTAGCTTAATAATCTAAGAAAAGCATATGTTTGCGTTTTTCACGCTCAACTTGGTCATTATCAGTGATCCTCAGCACCGGGAACAGTTGTAATTTTACGATCAGTTTGATTGCTGTCGTTGCGTAACAGCACCGTAACCACATCGACGTATTCATGCGTTAGCGTAATCAACTCAACGCGATTGCGTTGAACGACGCTGAAATTAGTCGGCAATTAGTTTGTCTTAGTCTTGAATGACCATATTGTACTGAACAAATTAGATCCGCACCTGGAATCTAAATCGGAATCGTTAGCTCTATACAAGATAGGCAAAATACGACAGGTCCGGAAGTGCTGTACGAACGTCGACAATCATGGCTAGCAGTGCGTTGCGCCATCGGTCCTGTCCATTCCCTAGACGTCTGACATCCGGGCAAGAAAGAATAGATTTATTTACGTTTCATCTCGCAGAAAGCACAGAAAGCATGCGACTAGGTTAACTCCAAAGAGTTGGACAGCTATGACACTTGTTCATTCTGTTGTCTGCCCATTTCCACACTCTCCTATTATGACTTTCTGACACCAAATCTCTATTATAAATAGAAACTTAGACAAAAATAGAATATATCCGCAGTTTTTTTTTATTAACAGAAATTCTCATTTACCAAACTGTTTCGGCAGTTTCCCACTTATGGCGATGAATTAAAAAGAACTATGAGTGATTGATCAAAGTGAATTTCAGCCTCTTTTGACAATAAGGGTTTAGCTTGAAATAATGATAGCCTTAGAGTTTTCGATTTTTAACATTCTTGCTTGCAGTAATCCTTTTTAGATAAACAGTTGAAATTTAATGTAGGCGAAAATCGGAATCTAACGACACTTGACGAATTCTCTTCGGTGTTGTCATCTAAACCGTTAAGAATCCGACGATGCCGACAGCTTTCATCGCGTCTCCTTGTCCCTCTCAAGTGCATTATGGGTCAATTACAGTCGATTATGTTCTCATCAAAGGTAATACAGGATGGGATGGCGATCGCCAGATGAAGCCTCTTACAGCGGTACGCCTTTTTCATGGCAGCCAATTAAGTGTGCTGACTAGCTCCTTTAACCCTTACCGAACTATCACTGAGCTCTCATATATGAAGAGGACGAGAAAAGCTTTCTATAGTAAATTATTTCATCAGCTAGGGAACGTCTACTAAACTACGAATACCATAATACCGAATACCACTGTGGTGTATAACATCATGAAAAAAGGGTGAAAATGATACAGGACAAGATACACTAACTATCTCGTTTACTTCAACAATCAGTGAACGCCTATTAGATGAGCACTACAGAACTGAACTCAGAGTTAGGGTCCGTGCAGAATAGGTGAAGGTGAGAAACTTGTTTCGATATTGAAAGGACGGACTAAAATACGAGGTAAAACTAGGCGTTATTAATACTTTTAAACAACATTAAATTGCTGGTACATCTTGTAACAGATCCCAGGAGCAACTTTCTATTAACCTCGGCCTTGGATTATAAATTCGTCGTTTTCTTTCTCAGCAATCGCGAGGTTGTTAAACAGCATACGTTTACTACCGTACAATAACACACGAAATATTGTTTTTATACTATCTTTATAGAGTTTTCGAAAGATATTACTGCAAGAATTTTTGCACTGGACCCATAATAACACTACCGTAAGAAAGCTGACCCGTAAGCATTTGATTTTAGGTAAGGGTTTTTTGTTGTTCTGTACCCTTGAAACCGCTGGTTATGTTAAGAACTTATTGATATTTAGTAATGTAGACACTAAGTACAACTTACAAATTTTTTTCTAACTAAACACAGAAAATGATTAAGGTAGGCACCTCAATATCATTAGATCGTTAATTAATATCGGTGGTCATTAAACCGGTATCCTAATCGCTAATTTGTAAAGTGAAATGTCACCGAAATAGAGTCTAGACGACAAAGATAAAATGCGTTTAGTCTAAAGTGTTATGCAACTGTTTCATAGAATTTTAAGGAAGGCAAGCTCTATGATAAAAATTATAAATTTTGTACCAACAGTATTTGATTTTATTGAATGAAGTGTTCATTTGACTAACACTCTTGCGGCGAGTTGCCTTTATGGGAGGTAAGTTTGAACTACCAGGAGAAGCCGGTATGACATTAACAGGTTTCATTTTCTTTCCAGTGACTTGTTTTAACACATAGAACGGTTTTCCTACACTTCTTGTACTCAGCTGATAGCTTGAACAACACAGAGATGTTCTATCGGTGTTGCTCGAGAAAAGTTCTATTATTCACTTAGAAACACACAAAAAATCCTTTTCCAAATAAGTTCAGTGGTCAGAAATCTAACTGGTAATCGACTAGTATTTTAACTGTAGTTTTTGTAATTACTCACGGTTATTATAAAAAATGTGCCTATGCGAAAAGGGACTAAAATAATGAGGCACAAGTTACAGAATTGCTTTAGATGTTGACAGCAATATTTCTATGTCGTGGGCCATAGTAACACATAGTAAATAGTGCCACAGATATCACTAATACCCATGGAACGATAGAGTAAGACCTTTCTCACAATCCAGCAGTGTTTACAACCCACAAAGATTTTTGGTTACTAGGAAATTATTGTTTATTTTCAAAAAAAAAAACATGCAAGCGCGTAAAGGACGGAGATTAGGCGCCGCCCATCGCAGCACAGCAACGAAATTGCGTGCCGTCGGGAGAAATTGGAGAACGGCTGTCTTCTTCAGGTGACGTTATCGCCTTCATGAAATCAGAATTAATCCAGCTATTTCATTGAATGCATCATCTTTCCTCCTTCTAAGAAAAGCTGCTCGATTACATTCCATGACCATTCAATTTGCTCGGAGAACTTATCTCTCATGCGACTTATAAAAAAATGACTACAAAGAAAAAAGATAGAAAAGTTCGAAATGTATTTCTCTTCATAAGTGTAGCCGGTATTGAAGTCAGTTGAGTCGCCGTCATGAAAAGGTTTTTCTATATAATCGATAATTCGTCAGAAGTATGATGAATACATGAGGTCGAGACTGGCGCCGTTAAATCGAGGTCGGCCTTCTTCCGGTGTTGCACCTGTTGTCGGTAAATGGTTCATATAAATCATCTTATTTGACATACAGGCATACAGAACAAGACTAAAAACTGCACATTAGACCCACTAACACTCATTTTCTGTGAAGGAGACAATTTTCTAGTCTTAGACATTGGCTCTTCTGTAAATGAGCATAAGCAAAGGTCAGAATTCACAGCACACTAACCTAATCCGTCATACATGATGTTTAACTATACAGCTAGCCAATCCATAGATGGAGGTTATGACTTCAGGGCTCACCACAGCTGGGGATTAGTGAGGCATTTAGCTGGAAAAGACACCACAAGCCTCTTCCAACAGTGTTTTATTGGTAGATGAAAGTACTGCCACAAATCTTGTCTGTTACCTTAAGTGCTATAATGTGCGACTAACAGTTGGACACGTATGGTGTGGTGGTGAAGGCGTTAGCCCCCAGAATAGCTAATAGCATGTTCGGCCTCCATCGCAGACACCAGCGGTCCAGAGTTTTGCAAATATCTCAGCAACATTATAACAATTTTTATTTACTTGAAGGCACGGCTTTTATAGATTACTTTCCTTCTACTTGTTTTTGGCCTATTTAATAATCTTCATTTTCCACAGCCTAGATGGATTAGGGCGGCGCTCTAGCACTATGAAGTTGTTATAAACATAGCTGAAGCCTGATTTTAGCTTACATTAATAATGATATTATGTATCATAACAGTTTAATGATTAAGGTCTGTGTATGAAAACTAGTCAATTAGTTCTTTAGTAAAACCCACTACGTAATTTCCCAATAGAATATGAACAACTCTTCGCTCCGCAGCGGACTCTCTGGTTTCTTAACTATAAAAAAGTTCTTCCGTAAGTAGATCGCTTCGGGATTGTGAACAAGAAAGACTTCTAAAAGAGAGTCTGCTTTATTCTTTTATGGCTACGAATGCTGCGTGCGCTACTGTTTCCTATTTTGCTATGGTCTATATTGCAAATGAATTGCTGTCGGGACTTTGAAGTATTTTGCATCCAATGTTGACTCTATTTCGATGTTTTCTATACCCGCACTTTATCCATGACCATACTGATCAAAATGAAGTAACAGCTAGTTTTTAGTCAAATCACCGGCCAATGAACATTTTCGGACCAAGGTTTCACGTAAATTATAGATAACGGTTTTTTCCGTCTCACTTCTACTATTTTGACATGCCACTGATTAGCTATCGAAAGACCAAACACAATGGGGTAAAAAAAATTCTGGAACATCCTGAATAAAAAATGTACACTAGAAAGCCCTTGCTGATAGACACGGATTAAAGAATTCTTAGCTGTTATGCGCTTCGTCCTACGCGTAGAACTCCCACTACGTAACCAGCTTCAATTGGAGATTTGCGAAATATTCTTACCTTATGATAAAAAACATAAGCTTCCAATTAACCATGGCATTAATGAGAAATTTTTGTAACTCTTACCAAATGGCCTTGATGGCTGGCACGAAGTCGCCAGAGACGATTTTTGCTCTGATGAGCTGTTTCGTCGACTTCTCTTTTTTTACAACTGCTTTCCGATTGTATAAATTTCAGTGAAGAATGAGACGATTCGTACATAAATTTACAAACATGCTTTTAATTTTTTTTTATTTGTCAAGCTATTATAATAGGGAAGGAATAAAGCTTTGCGTTGGTTGATCCTTGAGCAATGCGCCATGCATTCGACTTCATTAAGCATCGTTAGAGGTGATTGAATTCATATCTGGCCTTTACTCACGGTGGCCTACAAATGTATCGAGTCAGTGCTGTTATCCTCCCAAACAAGTTTGGTACCAATTTTCCGACCCCCAGGGATTTAAGGCTAGGTGGACCATGGGCGCGTGGATCGGTGCCACGTGTGTGTTGCTGGGCACCTCCGACCATTGCGCCACACGCTCCCGCTAAGCAATTATACTCCCTTTATTTTAATATTTAAGCGAAAACGTCAGTATATTACCCGTCACACATGTGAAGTGATACCAAATTTTTTGAACACAATGAAAAGAGCTGGTATAGTTGTCGATCCAAATCCCCTTCAAACTTTTTCGCAACTTTTTTCTTTTCAAATTCGTTTCAGTCCTTCCTTCTGTTTTTCATCCATACTATTCCTACTTCTTGTAATTTAACTATTCATAGTTTTTTGACGTTTTAACCATTTTTTATTTAGAACTCCTACTTTTTGTAATAGAACTTTTCAGGGCTTTCTACTCAGTTTAAATTGTTCTAATCTCTATACTTTCTTTCGTATTTCATGCATTTCCGATCGCATAGCTCATACTCCTTACCCTTGGTGAACAACCCTTCTCCAGTTCTCTTTTACAGTTTCCTATTCCATCGTTACTACTCACACCATCAGTAGCAAGCCAAGATTTAATCCGGTTAATCCGTCGACATCGATTCTACAGGTCAGACAAACTACATGATATGATTAAATGGATTACGGTGGGCGCGATAGATGACGCAATTGCAAATTACGCCATCGCCGACACCGAATAAGACATACATGTTATATCTTTGACATGTGTCACATAAAGTTCGGAAGGACTATTCGTGTTTAGTGGAGGTGTTTACATGAATCTGCTCCTCTTGAGAATGACATCAAGCATTTTTCTCAATCTACGAATGACTTATGTAAATGCGCTGGTCGCAAATACGGGATTAGTGGAATGCTCTTTACTGCAAGGTGATCTCGGATTACTCATCCAGGGTCATGTATATCCATCTGCCTGCCATAGCACCGACTCATTCGTCAACGCTGCTTAATAGAGTACACAACATTATAGTATCTATTTATATATGAACATCTCGGGTAGCTTAAGTTTAGCAAGCAGTCAATCAATACTGATGATAAGCACGGCGTTGCTAAAAATGACTTCAAAAGACCACTGAAACTTTTACCGAGCACGGAGATAAAGTCAACAGAGAGACAGGGAGATAGGGTGAAAGTTCCCTGCGAGTCAGCGTAACGGTCAGATATGCGTTCAATCTCCTTCAACGATGCTTATGAAGTTGAATGCATGGCGCATTCCTCAGGGATTGATCAGCGCCGGGAGTTTTATTCTTTTGTCGCAGTATGTCGGCTGTATGTAACGTCTATCCTAAGGAATCAGTTTTTTACTCATTTCTTGGATTTATTTAGTTGCGTTCTTAACCTTTTAGCACTAATGTGTTAAGAAATAATTTTCAAAATTGTGCATATTTCCGTCTCATATTGAAGGAGAAAAACAACCAGACGAGCAGTACAAACATTCATCTATGAAATAGTACAAAAGCGTGGTAGATAAAGCATGAATGTCAGCATCCAGAGCAATAAAGGTTACAATTTGCTTTAAGAAATAATAATAAGAAATTAAAACTGGGCACTTTTATTGGTTATTATATTAGGTCATCATAGGCTTTAAAATTCTTCGCTCATGCTTCACTAGAGTAACAAGCTCTTAATGGGTACTGAACTGCAATTAGGATCGTTGGTACCCAGTACGGTGGCCAGTGTTGAAGCCGATTCTTGATATTTTCGTCTAGAAGCACAGCTACAAATACAAAGGGTTTAAGAATCCAGGCAGCTTAGAAAGAATTCTAGGAAATTCGCGCATTGGTCAATCTCCTTCCAGTCCAGAAAAATCAATGGCCTTGTGATGGTCACAGTGATCAGAGAGCGACTTTCTTGAAAACTTAAGAAAGATTTAAAAATCGTGGATAATCAGCGAGATATCAGTTACGTAAAAACAGTCCCAATACTCACACTATTAGGCAAGAATCGTCATCAACCCAGTGAATAATTAAACTGAGCAGCTTGTCTGCCGTGGACGGTCGCTGTTCGCGAATGATTCACCACTTTTTTCTTTTTATCCACTTCATCCGATAGCCTCAGAATCATAAACAGATTCATAACGTCCATAGAAGATTGTCGTTTGTCTATCCGCTTTTTTTCATCGATTGCTCGTTTCATTGTATTTTCTTTCTGTAGCCCCTTGTCGAACAAGGCGTGCAAAGGGCAGTAGGATGAACCATTGCCGCAGAATGTCACGCTAGAAAAAAAAACGCGAACGTAATTGGGGGCCTCGAAAGCCACACAAACCCCATTCAAAAGAGAAAAAACCTACCGCATCTCTCTCACACATGAAGAGAAACATCCCTATTCGAATTTCGAACACCACTGCTTGATGTTTGACAACAGTTAGTTAAAATCGTTATAACGTTTTACTTCAGAAAACCAGTTCTCTTTGTGTCTGCTCATCAGTACTACTCATCTCGGCACATTTCTGCACCCACCTCCTAGCGAACACAACGGCCGTCCGAACAAGGATCAGAAAATCTTCACGTCTTGCACGATTTCATTATAGTCATTTTTATAACCGTATATAACCAACAAGATTATAAATATATTCAAATATGCAAATCAATAAGCAAAAGATAAGATTAGGCAGCGGATTGGTTGTAGCTGTAATAAATAATTGACTAATTTGCTAAACAAACAATTGAAAGGCATTTAGTTTAATGCCAAAGATCAGTAAAAAATAGTTCTGGTTGTAGAATGGAACGGTAACGGAGATAGTAACACACTGAGAATCTTCTCTGAAGATGAAGAAGACGGTAGAAAAGCTTAAAGCAAAAAAACTAGCAGTAAATTCCTATTTCCATTTCTTTTTCTGTTTTTTTTATTTTCTTTTTCTATTCCTTTACTTATGTGATTCGAGCTATCGAAGGCCCTTTTTGTGAACAACTTTAGACTTATTCAAATTGTACTTTATTAAAATAGTAAACAATTACACGTATATTCAATAATTAAAATCAAGCAAATAACTTAATAGATCACGATGGGCAGCCAGAGAACATATAGGGAGAAACCCGATTGAGTTTGACTGTTAAAATGACAAATAAATAAAACAAAAATACAAAAATTAAAAGAATAAAAACCTCAAAGGCATCTTTGTTTCAGTAGCTTTTTTTTGCTCAGCGCATGAAATGGGAGTATTTTTGTTCTTCAAATGATGAATCACTGTAGTACGATGATGCCGGTGAGAAGTCGGATTTCACTTGTGATGGATAGTACGGTGAAACATCGCTCGAAGTATTACTGTAGTAGGATTGTTGTTGTACGAGCATTCGTTGCTGCTGTTGGCTAGGTGATGTATAGTTGCTTTGTTGAAGAAGTGCATGGAGCTGCTCAATGTAACGTGTGGCTTCACGAAGTGTTTCCACTTTAGACAGCTTATGTTTTGAGCCATGTGGTCGCGGTACACGTAGTCGAAGTTGATTGAAACCCTGATTAACCTACAAGAAGTTACAGTGAGATGATTGGCGAGAGGGATTCTTGAAAGAGAGAGAGAATTGTGGTACGACTCAAAAAACATTTTGCGAATTTTATCGTTTTTTTTTTGGAAAGCCAGTGTTACAAGTTTTCGAGTGGTCGACTGTCCGCCGTGGTTTCTACGGTTTAAGCATGTGAATGGGAAGTACACAGAAGGCGAACTTGTGTCATCTCCAAATCTCCAGGAAATAATTCCTATGTTTACTCATGAGGATCCGACAAGATACATCAATAGGTGATTTTAACGACAAAGCTAAAACTCGCCATGATGACCACTGTTATGGACCACCTTGCTGAAAACGGTAAAGGCAAAAAGTATCATACAAAATGTATGGTGTGGTCATGTGGTTTTTGACTGAAAGAAACGTACTGGCTTCTCAAAAAGAACGAATGCTGACTCTACTGGTAATTGGTAGGTAGTAGCATATGTTAAAAAGCAATACTCCTAGCAAAAAGATTTGCAAGGAAAGTTTGATGATCTGAGAAGAGCTGCTAAGGAAAACATGGAACCATTCGTTGCTGCATGTCTATTTTTCTCTCACTGCGAAAAGTGTTAGGTTTGTTTCATACTTTTAAAATGAAATTAACCTCTAAGAAAAATGTTTGTTATTGCTTTTTGTAAGGAAGTTCATAAACCTTTCTAAACGTCTTGGCAAATGTTATTCCACCGTAACAGTTTTCTATACTTTCTAATCAGACCAAGAAAATAGATTTCATGTATTTTTCTTACTCAAACAAATATCGAGAACTGAACAGAAAACTTCTTAGCAACAACGCAGTAAATGTTCAGCATACCTATTTATGTAGTGAAGTACAAGATAAGTTACTCCATTGTTTGGAATCTAATCACCTACACTTCTCTTCATTGGAAGCGCTTTTTCACCTAGGCACTCTCTCATTTCTCCAGTTCTTTTTTTCGCCAGCACTTTTGATATGATGAACATCAATGTTTTGAACAAAAATGAGAAATGAAAACATATGAAGAAACAACAACAACAACAACAACAACAACAACAACAACAACAACAACAACAACAACAACAACAACAACAACAACAACAACAAGACAATAATGAGAGCTGACCTGATCGACTCGCTTTCGTTCACGTTCGTTTCTACGAAGTTTTTGAGGTATCAGCTTAGTGGATTGATCTGTAGGCATTGTGAGAGCAGACAATTCAAATGCCGTGTAATGATGACCTTTGCCTCCGGTGGGCGTGGCAACCGCTGAGCATTATCGGAATGGGCGGAGTTCATAGTATTGAACACGCGCAGAACATGCAACCAACCCGGACCGAAGACATTTCATAAATAACTGAGTGTAATTTATCAACGGCGACCAGTCGATCAAGCAATTCTATCGATTCGATTTGAAGCCATTGAATGATATGGAAGGAAGCACGGAACTGTGTAGAACTGACAGTAATGAAGTAAACTCCTTCATAATGTGCACTGATTTTTGTACAGCACGACGTGGTAGAACTTCGTTGAATGAGAGGAGACAAATACGAAAGGCATAAGATTCTTCTCTGCCAGACAGTCTGCTAGATTCATGGTGCTAGAACCAAATAAATCTTTCCTTTCCTTTTTTTTGGTAAAATTGCTTGAAAAATCCCTCGATAACCCTTCAATTAGAATTCTTTGAATGGAATTCTGTGAATTCTCTCAAAAATCTTGTATATTGCTCACAGCGAACTCAATTTACCATCAATTTGCAATTTGCTCTGATCTCTCCTTTGTTTCTGCGTCATTTACAGTTCTTCACTAAATGGTATTTTTTCCTATTGTTATATTCCAGGCCTTTTTTCAATAATTTGAAGTCATCGCTTTTTTTTTCACCGAACAAATAGGGCAGAATGAATTCGAACAGTGCAGGTGGCAGAGATCCTCCGTTAACATAAGGATTGATGAATGAATGATAGCGCAAGGACAAGTCAATTCAAACTGACACATCACCACGGAATTCCTCGTCGGTCAACTGACCACTACTACCGTACTAGATGACGTTTAAAAAATGACTCGTAACGTAAAAGAATGCACGCTATCTGTAGAGAACAAGTAAATAAACACACAGCGTTAGTCTATTCGTCAATTTTAAGCTTAAGCGAAGTTTTAACTCTGGAAGAGTTTGATGTCATCACTCATGGTGTTCGATGTTTTTATGCCGAACTCATCACGACGTCACCACTGGTTGCCAGGTAATTAATAAGTTAATAAGAAGGGACAAAGGAAATTAGAAAGCTGATAGGAAAGTTGATGTCAGTTGCTTCACTTTTCAGCGCGTTAAATTATTTTTAAAGGCAACATTTTGTTATTTCGGTATCTTCATTCCCACTTTAGCTCCTTCTGTCTTAGACGCACCTGAATTAAAATGAGCAAAAATCATTTTTTAACAATTTTCCCACTAAACGGAAACTCAAAATTGAAGTTTTTTGTGTTCTATGGTACCAAAAGATAACAACACCAAAAAGAATCTGTACTTTGTTACAGTAAACAAATCACAAATGACAATGATGTTTATATCACTTAGTAAACTTTATTATGTCTCACAAGCTTTGTGTTTTTTTTTGGACACCACAGTAGGAATGAATACAATCATGTGAACGGGAGATTCAGCAGCTGTACTGTGGGACGCATAGAAAAAAACAATGATGGACTAGAGGTTCTGCGAGTCGTTGATTTGACTCGACTGGGCAAAAAATACCGAAACGGATTCCATTCTGAGATTCAAAGAAATGCATGCGTAGATTCATGGCGTATCAACCGTCAACAGCAACATTTCCTATTTTTAGCCCATATCGCTTAAGACCATTTTTCTAAAAATTTTTCTTTGCAACAGTTAATCCGCATAAAATGAAAAATTTAGCACCATAGCTTACCCATTCTGAGTGGAGCAATGAAAAATTTTAAGATTTCGACGTTATACAGATATTGAAATCTGTAAAATCACTTTGAAGCGATTGCATACGGTAGAAGATAAAGTAAAAAAAAGAAAAATAGTAAGAATAGAACTGTAAAGAATTATGGTCATAATTGTCATGAAAATCCCAGAATTGATCTGTGTGTGGAACGATGAAGGTAGTCTGTGTCCATTCTTCCTCTGCTATTTATTACTCATTTTGGTGGTCAGATTGATGATGGGATTACCGTAAACGAAACATGAGATGAATAAGATGAACAATTTCAGTCATAAGCTGATAATCCGGGAACATATTCCACTCGACGCCCATCACTCCTACTTGTGTCGTTCTTAGAGAATCTTCAAAAAACTCAAGTTTTTCTCCGCTACGACTACTATCGCTTCTCAAGCTGATCGTCAAGATTCTCCGAATATACTGAGCAAATCATGAAAACGGTTTGCTTTTCTTTCTCTATCAATTTTTTGTGGATTAATGAGGTCGTCATCGCCTGCATCCATACATATAATTCCCTAACCATTCTGATCCTCATCGTTCATTGTTCCACCACAACGGATTACCAAGTAATTCAGCTATTGTTTACTTCGTATAATCATAGAGTGGCAGTGTGGATCGAGAGAATGTCGAATAGGAGTGGTGAAGTGCGCGCACGACAAGGCCATCAACGATTTACTACGTCTTCCGCATAAGATCGAATGCGACACTAACCTACTGTAGTTTCATTTCCTTCGACATGAAATTATAACTGGAATAAACAAATAGAACTTGGAAAAGAAGTGTTATTTCACCAACGTTCATTTCCATTGAATTTCATAGTTTTCCTTATAGGACCACCTTTGTGAATCGTTCACAATACATGATGATAGTAAGATTCCGATTGCTGCATAACATCTAAAAATTTTTAGGGCAACGTACTTCTATCAACGGTTTTCTAGCCGTAACTCAGCCAACTTTGTGTGAGGCCAAATAATCTCTGTAACATGAAGAACGTGAGATCAGTCCTTGAGCTGTTCACCATTTTGTTATTTGTGCATAAATCTATCATAACGCTCACAATAACAGATTTAACTGGCAAAGGTCAAACAAGTCATTAAGTGCGCGAAAGAGTGTTTCGACGTATCCGACCTACATTTAACCATCTCCTCCTCGCATCTATAAAAAGAAAGGTATCCTGCGAAACCGAAGACGAAACCGAAGGAAAGTACACTCCTGGTTTTTTTTTCAAAGAGGCTTTTGGGTTTACTTAAATAAGCTTTAGCACTAAGAATTTTTTTGATCTTCTAAAGAGCCAAATACTGGATTAAATAAACGAAGAAAATCAACAAGGTTTTTCCCATTACAGACTATAACATCTTCCAAAAATGTGATTACTAACGTTGCCATCAGGATTCTTTCGTATCGGCGACGATTTCTAGCCCATCTTTATGATTCCTAGCACGGATTCATGGTCGAGCACAGAGATTACTCCACTCTGTACAAAGAACCATCCAAAAACGAAAAACTTTGAATAAGGATCTAATGTGGGAAGTTTGGTGCAAATAATTCTATTTCGTTGGATTTGATTTTAATGGTTACAAAAAATACTAAAGCTTGTTGTCTACAGAAGTCTTTACCTTCGTTGTAGTTGTAGTACATAAATGGTGCCATATTTGGCAGAAAAAAGGAAATAATTATCGCACTGCAAAAATTGCTGAAAAGAATTACGGTTATTGATGAGAAGCGTTTCGAGGGTAATGGCGCATTTCTATCACGGCGGCAGCAATTACCGTTACACTATTGCCGCCGGACAAGAGCCAGAGGTCGTCAACTAGCCAAATAAGCACATCAATCACACCGCCCCACCGATCATAAAGCCACGGCAGTATAAAATATTCAATTCATTCAAGTCATATTTTGCCAGAACACCCGAATAATTAACGGAGTAATTCCGTCGATGATCGCCGGTCAACGCGAGCTGGTGCAAGCGGAGCACACCATGTGAAGATCCGCATAGATGAAAAGTATACTCAGCCGTCTGGATCGTGCTCATTTACATATTCATTTCAATTACTATTCATGGAATATTAAACGAAGGAATAGGAAGCTCTAACTGTCGCATCAGGACGCCGTCATAATGGGAACTGAGTTGCTTAGAAGAAAAGAGCACTGGAACGAAAACGACAATGAGGGGTACATTTCTGATTAACAACAAGTTCAGGCGTAAATTCGTCCCCAAAAATCATCTTGAGGCTGGAACCATCAACAAAATTAAAGAAGTGTTTAATAAGATGGACAACCACTGTACTTCTTTTGCCTTATTTATGGAGCATGGATATACGGTTCTTTCAGTCACAACAGAGATTTAACGGTTTCATTGTACCCTTGCTACAAAAGTTGTGAATTGATTTTACGTAGAAGTGTAATCATGTAGTCGCGAACTATTTATAGGTCTTAACCGTTTTATTTACAGCCTATTCTTTTTTAACGGCAGGGTATACATTGCGAAATTTAACTTTTTAATGATGCTGAGATATTTGCAAAACTCCTGACGAGTGAATGCTGATGGAAACAAATCAATAGAACTATCTGAGAGACACGCAAAATGAAGAACCCGCATGGCGTGGTGGTGAACGCGTTACTCCCCGGAAAGGACAATAGCGCGTTCATTCCCCACACAGACACCTGCGGTCCGGAGTTTTGCAAATATCTCAGCATCTTAAAAAAATTATTTATACCTCATTCTAAAGCTATTAAAAAACAAAAACAAAGAAGGCTATCTGGGGTTTTTATTCGAAGTAAATGGCTTGAAATCTAGAGGAGAACTGTTCTCAGTATAAAACACGCTGCAGACTTCACAAGTAATAAACCAAATTCTCAATATCTGGTCGAATAAGCTAAAATCAAACTACATTAATGATTATAATGACGATAATGTAACCCTCTGATGTCCACTAGTATTAAAAACCATCCATTTAAAAAAGGATAAAAGGAGAAACACAGAATGAAACGAAGGGCTTTCGGATACACTAGAGTGGTATCTAGTGTATTCGAAAGCCCCTCGTTTTTCTAAACCTAAAAGCTTTACTCTTTCAAAAACTTTTAAGCAAATAATTACTTGAATACTCCTTCTTGCACACTTTATTTGTTATTGGTTTTTTTGGTTCGCTGCCTTGAAAAGATTTTCTGAGTGGTAAACCTCGTTGTAGAGCTGGCTATTGCTAGCGAAAACCAAACTACACAAACTGAGATTGTTTTCCATATTTTC